ACACAAACGCGCGTCCGAACGCCGCCGGACACATTCCTCTCCGATCAATCGTGGAGCCTGCTGCTGCTGTCGCGCTGTCGAGTGTAAGAGCGATAGATAGGAGGTGTATGGAGGACGTGCTGCGATCCGCGCGCTGCTGGCTGGGCCGTCCGTGAACCGCCCCGGCGCGCTATGCGCGGGTCCTTGATCCTCGATTGCGACGTGCCGTGACGGCGGGCGGCGTGAAGGGCTCACGTCCGCTCTACTGTATACACCTGCTGATCGCCGACGCCTCCTGACCATGGCGCATGATGGGCCGGGCCGACTCGACTAGAACACAAAACTCGACTCGACGGCAGCGGTCGGCCCGCGGGCCTCGTCTCCTCTGGCCGCCCGCAGGCCGCTCCTGTGGCGCTCCTGCTGCGGGTGAAACGGGGCCATCGCTCCCTCTCTGCTCCGGGCCTCCGGGCCGGGCCGAGTGGGCGACGCCCTCCGAGACGCACCTCAGTAGGAGGTCGAATATTAATAAGAGAAACAACAAAAACGAAAACGACAACAAGAATTAAAAGGCGCGAGGACGCCTCCTCCCTCGACGCAGGTTGCCTCTCTGCTGTCTACGGATGAAGAGCTGTAATGAATGAAAAACCGCCTTTGCCTTTATGTATCCTGAAGCACTGACCAAGGAAATATAAGAAAAATCCGTGGAAAAACCTCTACGCGATCCGGCAACGCTGCTGCTGCGGGAGCCCGCAGGCCGGGCGGCCGCGGGGTGGGTGTGTGCGAGATTGTGCGTGTGTGTCTGCGAGTGTGTGTGCGCGTGTGTGTGTGTGTATCTGTGTGTGTGTGCGTGCATGTGTTGTGACGGCATACCATCGCGAGCCTCGCGACCGCCAGTCCATCCGCGGTCCACGAGGGCGCCACGTGACGGCAGCGGAACGCACTCGAGTGTGTTCTTCCCTCTCACCATCGCCGCGCCTCTCTATCGTGCACCCCTCCGGACGCAGCCGGCGGCCGGCAGAGATTTCCATGTGGGGCCTGGCGACCGGCAGCCGCCCCTCTCTCTCTCTCTCTCTCTCTCTCTTTCTTGTCTCGCTCTGACAAACTGCACTGAAACTGGCAAGAAATTATTGTCAAACTACTTTTCCAATATATTTTTCCGACAGCGAATTTCCTCCACGCGCCCAGACAAAATACAGTGAGCACGGGAGAGGATGGGTTGGTAGGCGGCGGCGGCGGGGACTCTGTCTTGGGGCTCAAAGGCACAACCTCGACGTGCCCCGGCCTCCTGTTCGGCACCGTGAGAGTTTTCCACGGCGCGAGTCGCGGTGCGGTGTGTGGCGCGGGGCGCGCTTGTTTTCGCACCTGCGCGCGCGCGCGCTAGTCGGGCCTCGCGAGTCTCGTGAGCAGTGAGCAGCTGGTGGTGCGCGCGCCACCGGCACCCCGCGCCACCTGTCGGCGGGCAACGCAAGGGCGCCGGGCCGCGGCGGAGGGACGGACGCCCGCCATGGCGCCATCTAGCGGCCGAAGGGGGAGTGGTGCGTGTACTTCCCTGGCGGGACAGCGAGCGCCTCACAGACGGCGCATAGGCAAACCATTCGACGGGCTGGTGCTTCAACAGCCTACCCTCCCGGCGTCTGCTTTTGGACCGTATGGTCGGGGACAGATGCCACCCTCGTATCTTTCTACTCCATCTGTCCGCATGTGTCGCAGTACGTTTAAACCAATCGAAATTGTACAATTTTCAACTCCCAATCATCGCTCATACATTTTCAATTTTTGAAAAAAACGTCACGCGATAGGAATTGCCAATATATTGTAGTCTTCCTCCATCCGTTTTTTCTCAGATTCATTCGGCAAAGTAGAGGAGCTCGGCGCCTGCGAGACTCGGGGTAGGCCACCCCGCAGCACACTCATGCATTGCAGGAGATATATTGCCTACCCACCAGGCGCTATGAGACCTGGCATTCATACATTTGCTGAACTTGGCAGGTTCGTAACGGTAAATTATTGACGTACTTTCTGGATGATTCCATAGCAACCCTCTATTTAGATTAGACTTTCGGATACTGAAGTTAATTCCTTTAATTCTAGGATTGTGTCATAAGGCATACCTCCTCTGGCTTTCGCGATTTGCCTTCCGTCTCGGGCGATAAGACAACCCGCCCACTCCCAAATGCGTTCATGCGGTACAGTACAAGTACACAACAATGTGATGGGGTTTGTTACCCACCCGGTGTTGTGTCTTGGTGTCTTACTGACAGCCGACCGAAGCCCTTAGGCCAGTAGAGCGACTGCGTCAGTGTGTCTGAAGGCAAGGAAAGAGGAGAGGAGGAAGATCAACACCAGGTGTAGTCACGCATGAAGACTGCTTTATTCATTATAATGCAAACTTTTGACAGTCAGTGATGCCGACGCCAACATCATAATACACAACCCCTTGCCTACAGGGCCAACCTTTCCCATACGCCTGCCTCTACACTTCGCTTTCTTCATATTGTTATTTTTGAAGCGGGGGTAGGTTAATCAGGGAAGTCTATCTGCAAGTTTGATCTTTGTTCACACTTATTTCACATTGTTTCCTCTACCCTCTTGTGCGTTATGTAAGTCAGCCTTCCAAATGGGACGAGCCCCCAAAACAATGCTCCATTCACAAACGTATACTGTCACACTTAATAAACATTTCGTCAGCCTTCCGCACGAGACGAGCCCCCAAAACGATGCTTCACTTACAAACGTATACTGTCACATTTTACAAACATTTCATCAGCCTTACGCACGGGACGAGCCCCTTTCAGATATAATGTGTTACATTTACTCTACGTTGCGTCATTTTTTTCTGTGAGCGAGGCGAGCCCCCCAAAGCTGATCCGGCCGACTCATGTTATATTTACCAAACATTGCATCAGCATGTAAGCGCCGGCTGATCAGAGTCAATGGACTCTTCTGCTTCCGCCTTACCCTTACTCTCAAGGGTTACATATTCGAAATGGCTTTCAAACACACCTTAGTGTAATACAGGGTTGGTGATCCGCGCCGTGGTTTTTTCTGCTTATACTGTACCGGATTCATGCGTGCGGACGGGTTGCATAGTCGCACGGGGCCATAAGGAGCCACGGCGAGCGACGATAGGCAAGCCCGCCCGCACTCGTGAATCCGGTACAGTATAATCAGAAAAAAACCACGGCGCGGATCACCCACCCTGTATAACATATAATAAAAACTTCTGACTTTCTGCAGACTGTTTTACCTGGTTTTATCGTCATCTAAAATTGGTATCGAATCAAATGGCGTAAATTGTGTCCCTACAAAGCTACGTGTTTGGTCAAGCTATCGTTAAAACACAAAAATACAGGGTGGTCCATAGACCCCTCCCTTTATTTTGATTATACTGTACCGCATGTAGGCCTGCATGCGGGCTTGCCTTATGGCCCCGTGCGAGTATTCAACCCGCCTGCACGCCTGCATGCCGTACAGTAAAAGCAAAATAAAGGAAGGGGGCTATGGACCACCCTGTACATCAACTTTGATGATGCGATTTTCAAATTTATGACTGGGTACACACGGGGCGTGTCGCGGGGTCGTGCCGTATCGGTACGGAGGAAAGCTCAGATAAAACTTCCTTTTTACTTTCGGCTTCAACAAAAACGAAATAACGCGATTACGCGACTATCGAATGACCCGGAGGTGACAGCTGATGGGCGGAGGAGCGTAAGTTTGGAGGTGTGTTTGCGCGGTAACCCCGATCGGCCCGAGCCGAGTCACGCACACCAACACGGTGGCAACACACAAGTCAAAAGAGAGACAATATGTGAATTGCATTTTGATGTGGAACGTGACACTAACACTAACACTCCGCATAACCAAGAGCTCCCAATATTTGAATGTTATGTCGTTTAGATCGGTACATGGGATTCGGTTTTGGTAAGTCGAATACTAAATTCCGACTGCTCCGCGGGTCTCTCAGAGTGAACAAAGGCAAAGCTGGGAGGTCAAATTTGTTCGAGAAACACATTAGTTAGTCCTCGCGACGGGGGATGACATCAGCGGATGGGCGGTGGTGCCGCCAGATACTTGCGCATGTGGGCAATTCGTGACACCCGTAAATCTTATCGGCAGACGAGTGTCGCGCGGTCGAAAATGTCGGTCGTGATCTCTGTTTTTTTGTTTTTTTCCAAAGCCGTTTTGGCGTCTGCCTGCGAAGGGGGCGGGAACGGGAAGGGGGAAGATAATTCGCGGCACTGCGGCTCATCATAACATTAATTTTTCGCGGCTGGCCCTCTCCTCCTGGTGGTATGGTGGAGGAGCCCTACTAGCCCTAGACCGGGTCGGGCCACACGATGCTCTCGATCCAGGGCACGTAGTGCGACACCCTGGTGTAGATGCCGGGCGTGCCGAAGCCGCAGCCCTGGCCCAGCGACACCACCCCGGCCACGCGGAACATGCACATGGGCTTGATGACGGGCGTCTGCAGCGGCCCGCCCGAGTCGCCCTGGAAGCAGAACAAGCGTACACCGTGTTGGTTGGGTAGAAGTCCCCGAGCCCAGCGCGGGCCGTCACGGTACAGGTCAACTTTGACGATGTGCAACGCTCACTTGGCAGGCGTCCTTCATGAGCTGGCCCTGGCCCGCGCAGAGCTGCGTGTCGTTGTCCACCCCGCGCGGCAGGGCCAACTTGGTGCTGCCGTCCTCGTAGGCCTTGCGGCACTCCTCGTACTTGGTGCGGTAGATGGACACCTCCATGAGCTCGTCCGCTGGTTCCCCTTCTGTGTGGGGGATGTAGAGGAGAATGAGTCGTGGTTGTTTGGGGGTCGCGTGTAATATGGTGCAAGGGTGAGGACGTACGGTAGGCGGTGTGGCCCCAGCCCGTCAGGTACAGCTTCTCCTTGTCCAGCTCCCGGTTGACGTGCAGGCACGCGGGCCGCACGTGGAACGTGGTCATGTTGGGCACCCACTGCAGCCGCAGCAGGGCGATGTCGTTGTAGGCCTCCGGCGGCCGGAAGCCCGGGTGGCGCTCGCGCTGCGCCACGGGGATGAGCTGCGGGAAGGCGTCGTCGTCGTCCCGGCTGCGCACCAGCTCGCCGAGCAGCACCCAGGACACGGGCACGCTGCAGGGGAGAGGGGGGTGCCATAATCGGCGAGCTGTAGGCGTGTGGTCCAGGGTCCAGCAAGGCGCGGTGCAGGTGCCAGCGCCAGCATCAGCATCACCCGTGACCGACCCGCCTGAGAGGAAGGCGATACAACGCACCGGAGCCTGCCTATCACCCAGGCGCTCTCAGACCCCTTGGAGGAAGGCAATCCGACGCACCGGCGCTGTCACTTTGCCTATCACCCAGGCGCTCTAGACGCCTGGGAGGGAGGCAATACGACGCACCGGTGCGGGCATCTTGCCTATCACCCAGGCGCTCTCGGGCCCCTGGGGGGATGGAGGCAATACGACGCACCGGTGGTGTCACTTTGCCTATCGCCCAGGCGCTCGGAGCCCGCGGAGGGTACTACGTCGCGGGCTATACTCACCTCCCGGAGAACACGCAGTGCGCGGCGGTCATGACCCAGGCCATGGAGATGAGCGAGCCCCCGCACTCGTAGCTGATGGAGGACCGCGGCCCGTAGCCCAGCAGGGCCTACAGACAGACAGACGCAGCCGCTGGAAGGTTTCACGCGAGAGGTGCGGACGGAACTTTAACTGACCGCTGCCCGTCTTTTTCGCATTTTATTTTCCCTTTGGTGGTGGGGTGCGTCGTGAGTTCGAACGTTATTGGGTGACGTACCATGTGGGGGAATTCCTTGGCCAGGGCGGGGTTGCCGCCGATGGGGTACGTGTGGTTCGGAACGCACTCGTTCTCTGGCCCGAAGCGCTCCCGCCTGGCATAATGCTCGTAGACCACGCACACTGTAAAGGTGGTTATGAAAATATTTCCGGTGAAAAAGTTGATGGGACAAGAGAGCACGTCAATATGGCGGCGCGTCGCGAGTCCAACAGCTTACTCCTGTTCGCCATGCTGCCGGGGGTGCCGTCGGCCCGCGGGGGCGGGCGCGGCTCGTACGGAGGGGGCGGCGTGGCGGGCTTCTTCGACAGGGACAGGAAGCCCGAGTTGGGGAAGAGGATGGACTCGACGGACGTCGCGCAGCACACGAGCGGCTCGGTGCCGGGGGAGGAGCAGAGCTGGGGCTGACCGCCGCCGACAACACCCTGGCGGCTCTGGAGCCGGCGACAGTCCGACATCCGACGGCAGACGCCCGGAGACTGGGCAGCCTGGTGGTAACACGGGCTACCTGCAACCGAATGAAAACACGAAATCAAACTAACGTCTGGGTAAATCTTTTTGACGCTAGGCACGCAACGCAGCGAAACATTGTGGGTTGTTTGTTGTCTATCAGTTTACTGTGCGTATCGTGAGACGAAATGCGTTGGCCGGTTGGTGGTAAAAAAGTTATATGTGATTCTGGATGTAGGTAAATAAAACAGTTTAATTAATTGGAAATCATTAGTATTATTGAAAAATCTAGTTACAAGTTTCAAAAATCAGAGCAAGGATTAGCCTTTTACAAAATTTACCATACAATAGCACCTTTACGGAAAAAAATATTTATATTCAGTCTTTTGGTGGGGTAGATTGATGTTGTTGAGATCGAGCGTCGCTGTCATCTTTTAGTCGTGTCACGAGATTGAGGCATTTTCTGTTTAGTTTTACATCGAGTTCATTATCGTCTCTCACTCAAACACGACTCTTTACTTTTGGAACTCCTCGGGCCACACGATCTTCTCAATCCACGGCACGAAGTGCGACACCCGGGTGTACACCCCGGGCACGCCGTGGCCGCAGCCCTGGCCGAAAGACGTGACGCCCGCCACGTTGAGCATGCAGGTGGGGCTGTAGGGCGTATTGAGAGGGCCACCCGAGTCGCCCTGGCAGGCGTCCTTGCCCACCTGGTCCAGCCCCGCGCACAGCTGGCTGTCGTCGTTGAGCCCGTCGGGCAGCTTCCGCAGGTTCACGGTGCCGCTGAAGAAGGACGCGCACTTCTCGAACGGCGTCCTCCACAGCGCCACCTCCATGAGTACCGGGGCCGGGTCTCCGTCTGCGAGAGCAAGAAGGTAATAAACGAGAGAGTCGCGGAAGTCCCTCTTGTGATGTTCGGGGGAAAGGGGGGGGGAGTTTACGGGTACTCACTCTCCTCGGTGAGGCCGAAGCCGATGAGGTTGAGCTTGTCCTTCTTGAGCTGCTTGTCCACCTGCAGGCAGGCCGGCCTCACGTGCGGCGTGCTCATGTCCGGCTCGCGCGCCAGCCGCACCAGCGCGATGTCGTTGTACACCTCGATGGCTTTGTACTCCGGGTGGCGCACCACCTTGCTCACGGCGATCACCTGAGGGTTGGAGTCGTCCGTGTCCGAGTCCGGCTCCAGGTCACCCAGCCGCACCCACTGCACCTGTCTGCCCAACCCGAAACAATGTTTAAAATAATAACAGTACAAGAGAATAAAGTTTTTAACGCTAGCAGGGTAGTTTTCTTTATTACCGATCCTCGCTGTAGAGGCAGTGCGCCGCAGTCATGACCCAGGTCGGGGAGATGAGCGAACCTCCGCAGAACCACTGGATACTGTTACGGCGGCCTACGCCGAGTTGAACCTGCAGAACAAGCAAAATTATCATCTTTTGCTGATGCGGAGGCTTAATTAAAAGGGCACTCCCAGCCGATCGTCACAAAAAGTAGTGCCTTACCATGTGGGGGAATTCCCTGGGCAGGGCTGGATTGCCGCCGATGGGGTATGTGTGGTTGGGCACGCAGTCCTTGTCGGGCCCGAAGCGCACGGTGGGGGCCCACTTTTCGTACTCGACGCACACTGGAAACAAAAGTGAGGAGGGAGTGAGTTTCCAGTAAACAGGCGAGATGGCGATAATGGTAATGTAATGGTAAAATAGAAGAGCACGACACTCACTCTTTCGCGCGACCTCGCCCGGCAGTCTCGTGATCGCGGTGTCGGGCGACGCCACCGCGTCCTCGTCAATTAAGGGCACAAGTGGGGAAGACGGGGCCATGGTCGGCTTCGAGGGTTCGGGCCTCGCCGGCTTCACGGCGGGCTTGGGCTTCATCGGCTGCTCCATGCCGAACATCGTCTCCTCCGCGGAAGCCATGGGTGGCCTCGCCGCGGGGGCCATGGGAGGCCGCTGGGGCGGCCTCTGCATTTCTCCTCCGGGAGGAGGGAGGAGAGGCAGGGCGGGTGGATTCTGGGGCTGCTCGCTGAGGTCGATGTACGGGTTGTAGGTGTTCTCAGGGTTCATTTGCTGGCCGTGCTGATTGTAGTTGTGCTGCGGGTTCATGTGCTGGTTGTGCGGGTTGTGGTTGTGCTGCTGGTTCACATGCTGGCCGTGAGGGTTGTAGTTGTGCTGAGGGTTCACATGCTGGCCGAGCTGGTTGTAGTTGTGCTGCGGATGCTGGCCGTGCTGGTTGTAGTTGTGCTGCGGATGCTGGCCGAGCTGGTTGTAGTTGTGCTGCGGCTGCTGGCCGTGCTGGTTGTGCTGGGGCGGCAACAGGGGCAGCGGTTGGTGGACGTGGGGCCCGCCCGGGTGGTGCGGGCCGCAACCCGGGGCCGGCACGTACTCGTGGGTGTAGGGGTCGTAGGTGGGCGAGGGGAACAAGATCTCGTCCGGGTCGTGGCTCTGCATGCGCTGGTCGGGCTGCTTGGGGCAGCAGAGGTGCGCCGGGTCGGAGCACGCTCTGGGGGCGCGAGTCCAGTCGTCGAGGCCGAGCTGGCCGCCGTTGTGGCCCCAGAAGCAGGCCTCCGGGCGCATGCACCACCCGGGCCCTCCCTGGTGGAGGCAGTACTCCCCTGCAATCGAGAGAGAAAACGTGATGCCGCAGCCACACTCCGAGAGGAAAGGAGAGGAAACCGTGGTGGTGGGTGTTCACCTGCCGGCGCTGCCGCGTGGTCGACGCGCGGAGCCGGCCGGGTCTTGGCGCCCAGGTGGCCCTGGTACATGGACCAGGCGGCGGACACGTCTTGGGGCGAGACATCGCCGAAGTGCCGGGATGTGCTATGGTACGAGAGCGGGACCGAAACCATTCGCCCGGTGGGGGTGTCGCCTGATACGTCATAGAAGTACCAGTCCACCAGCGACCGGCCTGTAAAACAATGCGACACCTGGTTGTTTTCCCTCATACTGTCAACCTTATTTTGTCCGGGTAGAGGTGGCCGTCCAGAGCAGGCTTAGCAAAGATGGGTTGTAACTTGACACGTCTTGTTGGCAGAGGCGCCGCGCGGAACCAGAAGCGGACGCCAGAGTGCCAAAAGTAACCGGCCCCATGGGCCAGTAATTAAGGCTTCGAGGTCACAAATAAGGTCACGACGACACCTTCCTTGGGAGCTTCGTGTCATTACTCGTATGACGATCGTCATAAGTCGACAAGTCGACTTATTATTTACATACACAGAAACGGTGGCTGCCTCGCCGCAAAAGCACTCAAAAGCGAGGACGGAGGGATGGCGATTGTTATTGATAACGAATGTTCGCCTTGCTATGGTATTGTATCCCAGGTAGCTGACAAACGCCGCACACTATCGTAGTTATACTGTACCGCGTGCAGGCGTGCGAGCGGGTTGCCTATACTCGCACAGGGCCGTACCTCCGTGGGCAGCAGTGGGCAGCGAGGGCGAGGATAGGCAAACCGGCCCGCACCCGTGCAAGCGGTACAGTATCCACGAAAGTGCTCGGCGTGAGTCAGCCGCCTTGGTACAACACTTTTTGTGTTACAGCCTATCAGAGGCCCGGCTGTGGAACCTAGCCATCGAAATCGTTTATTGGATATGTTTGGATTCCAGCCAGAACCGATGCTGTCCGGTGCGACCGGCGCAGGCCGAATTATTGAGACACGATCGACGCCGCCATAGAGAACAACACGAAAAGACGGGAGCTCCGACGTCAATCCCTGCTGCTAGCAAAGTGACCACACTGAGCTAATGAGCCGGACGCACGCTAATTGTCGGGGCCGCGGAGGTGCGACTTCCCAAATTAATCGGGTTTGATTACTGACAAACGGAATAGTGTAAACTAAAATACAGGGTGCGACAAAACCACACAACGCGAGCAGCCCGGCGACAGAGGTTTCGGTATGGTCTTTGTCTGGCGCGCCGGGTTACATATGATGACGAACTCGCACGACAAGGAGGACTGAACTGAGAGATGCGCAGGAGTGAGGATGGCCCGCTCCAAGGTCGCCCGCGACCACTACACTGTGATTAACGCGCCGGGTATTTTTTTTATTTTCTTTTGTATTCCCGAGGAGCTGGCGGTGTGGCGGCAGTATCATCATCATCATCGGTGTTCCTTCCGCAACAGTAAACGTGGTGCAGTGTTCGCCGAATCAATGACATTGTTGGCAAAAAGTGTGCATCGCGGAGAAGAGTGTTCTTCAATTTCCGGGCAAATGGACATAAACGATCAAAAATTGGCGAAGATGGGGCGGAGGGGATAGCTGTAAAAAGAAAGATTTACGACCGGACTGCGCCGCGCGGCGCCGCGCTACGGAGTCGATCTCGCGCGGAATACAAAATCGCGACACTCACCCTCCGGCTGCTGCTGTTGGGCCTGGGCTATCGCGAGAAAAATCGCCACAGCCAGCCATACTGGATGAGACACCGCCATTATCCTCTGTCCCTGCTGGATGGCTTGTCTTGTTCCCGCGCGGAACTGGCGACGATGAGCGCCAAATCCGGCGGCTGGAGCCCTGCGATAAGGAGTCTAGCAACTCGCAGCTGCTCCTCCGAACAACACGCGCTGGGCACTGGACAACGACTGAACTCATCTTCTCCAGTCCATCGGGGGTCCGGCGCGTCAACAACCCTTCTTTTCCTCTTCCACCTGTTCTCTCCATTTTCCTTCATCTCTCATTCGCTCGCGCGATTCCCCCCCTCCCCCTCTCTTTTCCCCGCGAGTGCTCACTCCCTCCTCGGTTGCGCGGTCCTGGATTCTCCAGCGAGAGTAATATTAAATGTATGACGTCACGCGAGAATCCCCGCAGCCTCTCTGCGTTCTGCTGGACCAGTGACGTCTCTCCGGAATGCTGCTCAGACGAGCAGCACAGAGGCACTGGCACTGCACGTCCACCGCCAGCAGGCACTTCACGGCCACCGCCAGCACCTTCACCTGCACACAGTGTGGCGTTCTCGTATGAGAGTGGAGATATTCTTATAGTAGTGTCTATACGCCCGACATTTTTGCATTCTGTAAATAAAATACTACGAGTATACACTTGCTGAAAACTTTGATCCGCGGTAGCTGAAAAACCTCTGCTTAAAGTTCAGGCATCATATCATTGGCAATGGTCCATCCGTCTCCGCTGCCCCAGCCGACCCCGGCCGGCCAGGAGAGCGGGCCAGGATGACAAGGGGGCTGCGTACGGCGGGGAAGGCCCAGCTATTGATTGATACACATTCCCCAAATTTCCAATGACGACCGCAAATTTTTTGTCCTGGACAACGGGACCAGGGGAGGCTCATGACGACAACTCAGAAGTAGACGGGGGAAACCTACCTTGCAGCAATCACGAAAACGAAACAAAAGGTGGGTGTAATTTTGTGGGCAATTACGGGAGCAGCATTGTGGCCGCGGGCGAATCTGGATGGCCAGTCTTTGGTCGCGTTACTTTAACAAGCTCGCGAGGGGAGGGCGTGATCTGCCCTGGGACCATCACGATGGCGTTGACTTGGCCGGCGGGCCGGTCCACACGGGACGGGGGGCCGTCGACCTAGCTGTCACCTACTTTGCAGAATCTCTCTCCGGGCCAAAGGGCGACAAAAAGAGAGGCAGCCGCTGCTGGCGCGCCACATTAAAAAAAATGGAAGCATGAAATTCGTCAAATAAAACGAACATCTCACATATGCTTATCCGGCCTGGTGCAGGTCCTTGCGTTTGGGGGGCGGGGACCGGGCGGGGCGGGCTGCGTGTCACCGGGGTTAGAGGGTGCGGGGTCAGCAGGGCCGGCGCGGCCCGCGGCCCGTGATAAGGGATTTATAAGGCGGTGGGCGCGGCCCAGCGGCACAGAGACGACCCGGTACTTGTCCGGTACTCGTCCACCCCGACCGACCACAAGCTCGCCATGAGGCTCACCCTCTTCCTGGGGCTCGTCGCCGTGCTGGTGGCCGCCTGCGCCGCCGCCCAGTCCACTTGGTACCACGGCAGCAGCTGGCAGCAGCAACAACAACAACAGCAGCAGCAGCAGGGTGGACGCTACCAGCGCTACGGACAACAGCCGTGGTGGAGCGTCTCTAGCCAGTCTCAGCGCGGTGGCAAGCAGTACCCTGGACAGCAATACTCCGGACAACAGTACCCTGGTCAACAGCAGCAGTACCCTGGGCAGCAGCAGCAGTACCCTGGTGGGCAGCAGCAGCAGTACCCTGGCCAACAGTACCCCGGTCAGAAGTACGCCGGTCAGAAGTACCCTGGTCAACAGCAGCAGCAGTACGGCCAGCAGTACCCTGGTCAGAAGCAGCAATACCCTGGTCAGCAGTACCCCGGTCAGCAGCAGCAGTACCCTGGACAGCAGTACCCCGGTAATCAGCAGCAGTATCCCGGTCAGCAGCAGCAGCAGCAGTATTCCGGTCAGCAGCAGCAGGGCCAGCAACAGCACCATGTGCACAATGGCAACAACCAGGGCCAGCCCAAAGTTGGTGAGTATATTTAAGAGCCCTGTTTCCTTCTAGGAATGCTCTACTTAATCCACTACTGCTCCCATCCCTTTTGCCTTCGCTTTAACCACGTCTCGTTCGTCCTATAGCCGACAAGGAGTTCCTGAGTCGTCAGAAGGCTATCCTGCAGCTTCTTGTCCACATCACCCAGCCCAACATTTACCCCGAGGTGGCCGAGCAGGGCCGCAAGTACGACGTGTTCAACAGCGCCGACCGCTACCGCAACGCCAAGGCTTACGAGTACTTCATCGCCCGGTACAACCGTGGAATTTTGCCCCGCGGAGAGATCTTCAACGTGTACAACGACGACTACCTGGACCAGGCTATCGCCCTTTTTGACCTCTTCTACTTCGCCAAAGACTTCGATACTTTCTTCTCCGTAAGTCCACTACACAGTAACTCCGCCCACTTACTACAGAATAACGATGGTCGACTTGTATGTAAAACTGGGCTACTTCCACCCTAATGTAGACTGCCGCCTGGGCTCGCGATGTCTACAACGAAGGCCAGTTCGCCTACGCTTTCTACGTCGCTGTGATCCACCGCGAAGACACCTACGGCATTGTGCTACCCCCTCTTTATGAGATCTACCCCTACTTCTACTTCTATGGCAACGACCTGCAGCAGTTCTCTCAGGCCAAGCAGATAGGTATGGTGTGCGAGATCATGTCAACACTCTCTAGCTATGAAGAAGAAGTCAGTGATCCTAGACCCATCCTGTCGCACGGCACACTGCCTCCTGAACCGGCGTACCTTTCTTTGTTTGCAGGCCAGAACCAGTTCTCGCTGTATACCAACTTCAGCGGCTACAACTATGGTTACTACTATGGAAACTATTATGGAAATCAGGAGCAGATTTTATCCTACTTCACCGAGGACATCGGCCTTAACGCCTACAACGCCTACTCCCACTTGTACAACCCCTTCTGGTTCAGCGCCGAGAAGTACGGTTACAACTTCCAGGGCCGTGGCGAGTACTACTACTATTTCTACCAGCAGATCCTTAACTTTTACAACCTGAACCGCATCGGCAACTACCTGCCCGAGCTCGAGTACTTCGACTGGGACAAGCCAATCCCCGTGAGTATAATCCCGTTCTCTTTAGTGTCCCGCTTCAGCCTCACGCTCGCTCAGCACCCGACATGACCCCACACCCTGAACGCTTCTTTCTTTTCCAGTACGGCTACTACCCCAACATCGAGTACCACAGCGGAAAGCCCTTCCCTCCCCGCCCAGACCAGTACCCTCTGCAGAACATCCGCTCCTACACCATCAGCGACATCCAGAGCATCGAGTACCGCATCAAGGAGGCCATCGACTCTGGCTACATCTACAGTGTAAGCATATATTCTTTGGTCGCACTGGGCCGGCAGCAGAGCGGCAGCAGTGTGGACGCGGAGAACGCTCCGAGCGCGGAACCGCCTGCCGACCGGACGCTAGGCAGACCCGCTCTGCTTACGTGTGGCACTGGAGTGCCTAACCCCCAGGCGCTAGAGCTCCGTGGCTGGTCCTTTTCGACCTAGCTGTTATAAACCTTTCCAATCTTTGTAGAGAAATAACCGCAATTTTTCTTTGACTTGTGCAGAAGGACGGATCTCGAGTTCCCATCTTCAACTACCTGAAGGGCATCAGTCTACTCGGCAATATCATTGAGGCCAACGGCGACTCCGTCAACTCGAGGTACTACGGATCTTACCAGTCCATGCTGCGCAGCCTGTTCGCCCTCATCGTGGACCCCGGCTACAACCACGGAGTAAGTAACAAACAGGCTTCCAGAGCGTCGAATAAGTTGCCTACCCAACCGGCGCGCCCCTTCAGCAGCTCGTTCCCCCCCAGTAAGGCCTCCGACGCTACTAACTCGTCACTTTCTTCTTTCTCTCAGGTCGTCCCCGGCGTCCTGGCCAACTACGAGACTGCCCTGCGCGACCCTGCCTTCTACTACTTCTACAAGTACATCACCCGCTTCTTCCGCCAGTACGCGTACAGCCAGCCCTCCTACAAGTACGACGACCTGGCCTTCCCCGGCGTCTCCGTCAAGAACATCGAGGTGGACCAGCTCAACACCTACTTCGACTACTTCAACGTGGACGTTAGCAATGCCTTCTACGTCAAGAACGTCGAGGAGGCCAACTCCCTCAACTACGTTGCCCGCAGCCTGCGTCTGAACCACGAGCCTTTCAGTTACAAGGTACAATAACGCGGTGGTCTTCGCGCGAGTTGTAGGTGTCTGCTGAAGATTGGCTTCGGTATTAAAAGGGCTCATCTTTTCTGTTCGATGTAGATTTACGTCAACAGCGACAAGAACGCCAGCGCCCTCGTTCGCGTGTTCTTCGGCCCCACGTACGACGCTTACTACAGTAGTCTGTACGGTTTCTACGCCGGCGGCAACGAGGACTATTACCAGGGCTTCCCCCAGAACAAGGACTCCAAATACTACTACCAGTACGTCAACTTCGACAGGCTCAAGGAGTACTTCGTCGAGTGGGATCGCTTCCCTGTGAATCGTAAGTACCCGAATCCCACTGGATGCCCCACAATGCGAGAGTTGTGGTCCAGGGAGTGCAGGATGCAGGTCGCACCGCACGGTGCGCACGACTATTGTTGCCACATACTCGCATCGTCTATTAATTGCCTGTCTTCGCCCACAGTGACTCCTGGTGAAAACGTCATCACCCGTCACTCCAAGCAGTTCACCAGCACCGTGGGCGACTACCCTTCGTTCGAGCAGATCTACAAGCAGGTGGAAGCGGCCATCCAGGGCCAGGGCTCCTTCTACATCTACGACTACGACCAGCAGTGCGGTTTCCCCGACCGCTTGGTGCTGCCCCTCGGTAGCAAGGACGGTACCCCCTTCGCCATGTATGCCGTCATCAGCCCCTACTCCCAGCAGGAACAGCAGCAGAGCGCCGAGTCCCCCATCTACTCCTGCTCTGGTCTCTACAACTACAACGACTACCGCCCCCTCGGCTACCCCTTCGACCGCGAGATCGTTGACTTCAACCAGTTCTACACCCCCAACATGTACTTCAAGGATGTGTCCGTCTATCTGAAGACCCCACAACAGGTCAACCAGCAAAACCACGTTATTGACTACTAGAGCAAAACGACGCTATTAGCAGGACGAAAGATAAGAGGCCTGTCGACTTTCATTCATTGCAGCAGTAGAAGACATTACATTATCTACAATTTTCAATAAATCATTTTCCTGAAATCAATTTATTGTTGCCCTTACATATCATTTACCAAAGGCTGTTCTGTTTTGGCTGCAAGAAGTCAGTCACCTTAATGCACCTTAAAGCATTCATTCACAATAACTAAACTTAACTCACCTAACAGAGAATTAATTGCTTATCTGCCATCACAGACTGACAAACAAATTAAAAAATGGGACACCCAGCTTCTTAAGTTATTTTAGCTTTAGAACGGGTTTCTGACTTGTTCATGGCAAAACCAGTTAAAACTCTGAGAAGAGACATTACTCATCTAACAAGTACAAATGTGTCAATGAATGCAGGCAGCGCAACGGTATTTTTACAATTCTCTACACCACTATGCTGTTTACCAACCCGAAATTACAGAGCTCAGGTTCTTGGAGTGCATTGCAATAAGTAAAACAAACAGAATTTGTAATTTGTGCATTTTTTGCTCTCTCTGATTCAAAGGTCTAATAATTAAGTTGGTCTGTTAATTGATAGTGTCTGTGTGTGCATATATGACAGATTAGGATCTCAATTTACAAGAACACACAAGGATACACCAAAATCATCAATTTTATTTAAAAAGATCATTCATCAAATGCAGATTGAGTCTGGAATAATTTCATCTCTTTTGCTTGATTGGAATGGTCACAAAAGGAATATAATGAAATAATTAAATCCCTGCTGTGCAGTGCACAATATATAACGTCTGTATGTACAAATGGACCACTTGGTGGTCTATAAATAAGCATCAGTCAATAAAACAATTATTTAATTGGGGAAGTTGAGATATTGGGAAATTGATTAAACTATGGACGCTGCTCTGATGCTCTGGATAATTTGGAAGATGGCTGGAAAAGAAAGTAGTTTTTAGCCTCCTTTAAAATTGAGTTCAAAAATTTCATTGTATCCTGTGCTAGAAAAATAGTTTACAACACCCTTACCTGATCCACAAACAACAAAAATGAAGAGAGCCAACAGCCATGGGCCAACGGGGTACTTCTCATCCTGGGGTTTCTGGAAGAACAAAATATTCTTTTAAATATGACATAGGATAAAAATTGAAGGTTCGGTCCATTATTTTTAGTCCCAGAAAGCAAAAAGATTATGTATTCATATCTCCCCAAAAAACTCCATTTACTTATTTTTAAATAGAAGACAACTTTATTAGTGTTGAAATGAAAATATTTGTTAGTTGAGACAATCAGGTCAACCATAAAAGGAAAGAAGTGACTTATATTATCACAAACAATGAGGATGATAATATGACACTGTAGAAGGGAAGGAAACATTTCTGGCATACTTTACTACCTATTAGAGATTCAAAAACAATTCACATGAAAGTTTAAGATAAGAAAGTTTAAGATATTAAACTGTTCTTTTGAAAAGTTGAAGAGGGCAACCCTTGACTATGTGTCTTTTGAACGTGAACACTCGTAACCTGAATCAATGTGCACATGCAACCATATGCTCCACATCGAAAACTACGTATCTCAACTATAAAACATGAGACCTGACTGAAGCCATAACAAGACTGGTTTTAAGACCATCAAAGGTAGAATAAGGTGAGCATTGGGGCGATTCTAGTAAAAAGTTTGACATACTGACATAAGGCAAGATTTTCTCAAGAGGGATCAAAGAGAGAGAAACCAAGTACATGCCAAAGGGCCCCTCAAAATTGGCCTTGAAAAAGATCTGATATAGAATGAACAGCTAGATTTGAATCAGAAGCTATACTTCAAACAGATATAGAGAAAGTAGGTGGTGATGTGAAGGTACGTGGTACATCGGATACTTACAGTTGATTTTGGTACATTCCCCCGAAGAGTAACATTCTTCGATGCCTTCTCGTTGGCTATCCTCATGCGCTGCTTAGGGGCCATTTTCTCTTCAGGATATTTGTCCTGTCAAAATTACTCCAATTGTCCCCGAAAGACTTCAGAGAGTGTTGACGTTCTGCCAGCAGGGCTTGTTGACGCTAAAGGAGGCTGACCGCACCGTCCAGTCGGCTTGCGTCGGCTGTCGCGCTACGTGTCCACTGCCTTCTACAAATGAGAATTGTCTTCTGCTAGGGGAGGGCATTTCATTATTTGCCAGAGGGCAGTGAAGCGAACCGCGGGCTAATACGAAAGCCCTCGCAGGAACGCACAAACACTTCTGCTGGGCTCTGGCCACCACCTTTGATTTTGATTAGAGGCAAAATCCTGTACACCTGGATTGTAGTCGAATGGAAGCCGGACGGCCACCTAAAGATTTGAGAGCTCGTAGGTACCAACCAATGGTGCGGAATTTTGTTTGCAATTTATACAGGTCCTTCAGCAGCATGGCTACAATTTTCCGATTGTACCATTTACTTGATTTGATTAAGTGCAATATTTGCACTAATAAGGCACTTTCCCATTCAGGCTTAGCCAGTCCTCAAACATGTGTATCAATTCACTGTGTTGAATGATTGGTGTGAATGTTTGATCAATTTGAATCTTTGTGATTTGTAAAATGTTTACAATTTATGAATTTCATGAGTTATACTCTTATGCTTAACACATTTAAAAATGACTTTACAACAGACTACATTTTCCAGAATAAAAAATAAAGCGAATAGGAATCCAAATAAAAACCTTCAAAGGGCTAGTAGAGAATTTTTTTATTATCAGTAACGCTTACACCATCCTCCTCAGGAGCTCATTGATCTTGTCTTCCCTGTTGCCAAAATCACCACCGTCGACGTAGTGGTTGTTCTTCCTTCTCCAGCCACCAGTTGGGGTGTTCAGCTGAAAGAACCAATGTGAGTTGAAGTTAAAAAGAAAGCAAATGGATAGGACAAATGTGTGGCTACAGACACAATTAGAGCAATATTGCAAAAACTGATCAGAGCCTGTAGCCAAATAATTTCCAACAAGCTGGAAAGCACTAGAGTAGAAACATCTAGAGCAATGGACTTGTTGGCAAGAGTAAGCAGACTGAACAAACCTTGAAGGGCCACAGGAAGTTGGAGGCGTACTTGAACTTCTTGCCTACGGTGAAGATTTCGTGGATAAGATCTTCAACACAGATGATGTCCTTGTTCTCTGCAAATGTCAACACAGCATTAAAATCAATTCAAATGATACCAAATCAACAAAGACATTAACTACGCCACTTACTCAGGGCCTTTTCAATAATTTCGTTAGAGGTGATGGGGATGCGCTGGTGGTTAACTTTGGCAAATCCTCGTTTGTATACAAGCTCCCTAATGCTCTTCAGATTGGGGTAGCCCCAGGTAATGTAAGGTTCACAGATACGGAGCATGTTGACAGTGGCTTTGTTAAGAGAAACAAACACTCCATTGTTGATCTGCTTCAACCTGAACAGCTGAAGAACTTTACGGACCTTAGGGGCAACTTTGTTGACACTGGAACAAACAAACCATGGTAAAGATTGCACTCCTGACATTCGGCACACCAAGGACTGAGGGAAGATACTTACCCCCGAATACGCATAACAAAGGCAAGCCTGGCCTCAGAGGGAACATAGAAATCTCCCTTCTTCACGGTAGCTCTCCTCAAGCGGATTTCATCGCGCTCCTTCTTAAGGTATTCTTTTTGGTACAGCTCAGCACGCTTGAAGATAACCTTCCTCTTTTGGAGACGCTGGGCGCGGACCTACACGAAAGCTAGCTTTAATACAATGTCAAAAATTGGATTATCACTTTTCAGTGTGTGAGGACACTTACCTTCAACGCAGCCTTGACGAGGGATGCCTTGGCCGCATCACGGCGCTTTCTGCGTTTCAACACGGTTTCAGGGACGGCGGGCAACTTTGAAGTAGCCTTGTTGGGGCTCTTGGCGGCCGGCGCCACCTTCTTGGACGTCTTGGCTCTAAACAGATAAAACCAAACATGCCGCTGTAGGACACACAAAAACCGACAAATAACGCGCCTCAAGGAGCCGACACTTTGGGAGAGTAACATGCATTGGTTAACCGGTAACCTAACCTCTCAAAAATGTAACAAACACAACATTGAAAACTTAACAATGCAACAAGGAGTCAAATATAAATAACGAAATATAAACGGCAGCGGCCACATATCCGCAGATGACCAATAAGTGGCAAGTAACTATGTACCAAAACAATGGGTTGCACCCCATGCCAGAATTTAAGAGTAAACACTACGACGGGATGAAGGTAACTATTGTAGAAATCCAATGGAAATAAATTGACGAATAACCAAAGAAGCACAAACAGAAAATACGGCTAACTTTATATTGAAATTAACACCGATTATTTTGGATTATAAGACGCCGCAAAACAGAACTTACGTGTCCGCCATGCTTACGCCTTAACTGGAAAAGGATCCGGAAAACGTTTGACCGAATGTCGAAGCACAGAAGAAAAAATGGCGCATGACTTACTTCTTTTTGTCTTCTTTGAAGGATGGCTTTCAGAACCTTCGAGCGCCTATTTCCAAACCTACTCTTATATGAAGTTATTATTTCGCATTGCCATGATTTGGAAATCCTAAATGAGACGAAGAATTCTTTATTGATTCCTCTTGTTGTCAAAATGTCAAAATGCAGTGCCATTGCCATCATACTTTTTTATTTTAAAAATGGTACCCCTGTTCGAGATTTGATCGAGATACTAGCAGAAGACGTAACCTTACCCTATTCAATCACAGAGATAACAAAAATATTCGTATGCAGAAATTAAGTATATATTTTCTGTAATTAATAATAACAATAACTATATGATAGGATGGGAAACCTGACTAGTTCTGATCAGCCTAGGACTGACCACGTATTGCCAAAGCATCTTGGTGGAGGTCCACTTAATTTAGGTTCGTAAGGGATGTTTTTGTATCTACTTACTCTACAAGACGTCTTTCAAAAAGTGAAACATTCTTGTTTTAGGCGACCCAGATGACAGATCTTTGAGGAAAGTTGAGAAAGATATATTAATTCTAAACATGGTGCGAGATCGGGTACACAAAGAGAAATGCTCTGCTGAAGCCGCAAGTATGACTGTTCTGTTCATGTTATTGTGAAATCGTGTGAAGTTTTGGGGAACAGGTACTAAAAACAATTCTTCTTTGCAGAGTTAGATAAGTGTGGTGGAGAGGCTGGACTTTTAGTTACTTTTAAGTGCGGAAAGGAAAAGGACGAGCTTATAGAATGCTCTAAGCGGTGGTTTCATGATGAAGGATTACGAAATGAGTGCACCGAAGAATTTCTGAAACAACGATCCTATTATCGACGCACTGGGAAACCAGGATATTTGCACAACCAGGAGGAAAAAGAAACCTCAGGATTACCACAGTTTGCTGCACAGTGATTATAGATACATTGTTACTTAGTTTATTTTCTTCTTTGATAAAAAAATATGACAAAATGTTTGATAAAGTTCTATAATTTCCCTGTCTCTTACTTTCTCATAAGTTCTTTAACTTAGACTTACAAGTTTAAAGAAAAAATATTGTCTTGAAATTAATTGGCTACAATATTGCAAAAGAAGACTAGAGTCCCTGAAGAAAATTCAAATGGGTTATCACAAAATATCACAAAAAAACTGTTTCAAATCATGAGAAGAATCAAAAGTTATATTTTCTGTGACGAGCTTCAAGTAAATGTTCAGTCAAGAGAGAGAGAACATCAGCATGGGTTGGATCTTCATCTGAAACAAGCAAACAAGATAAGTCGGAAGGAGCCAGCAAACTTAAAACAAAAACAAAAATATACCCACCATCGTAATACAGCAAATCTACTAAGTGTGTTAATTGTTTGTCATCATCAATAAGCTTCTGCAAGGTTCGATAAAAATTGGAAATAACATCTGCCTTGTGCATTCGTAGGTGTTCTGAAATCAGTAACAATTCTTAACAGTAGTGACCATGATAGTAGAACCTTCTACTTCCATATCATATCAAGCACTTTCAGAAATTGCAGTTATGTAAAGAAAACAACAAAATCTCTCATACCAGCTTCAGGAGACCCAGCTAAACAAGCTTCACGAAAGGTAAGCACTGCTGTAGCTCCTTCAGCTATGGTGTACAAAAATGATACTGTGCCATTTCTTTTTACCCTAATTCGGTAAGCAGCACCACGATATACCCTCTGCTGTGTACCAGCACGATTCCTTAAAACATCTTGCAAGCGCAATTCCTGCAAAAATATGAGATTAGAGAATTTTGAACAAAATGAAGATCATTGCAAATTCTGTAAAAAAGAATAACAACCGTTGAAGCTGTTACGGCTGGATCTGCACCAACTTGAGAGGGCTCATCAGTCAGTAGGGGAAATAAATTGCCCGAGCTTGGAATGAGAACTATAAGTTTCTGAATGGGAAACTGATCTTCTCTGATCTCTTCTTTTTCTAAGAACAACTTTATTCTCTCAGATATACCTAGATTTTAAATTATCAAGGTTACAGTGATATGCATCACAAGAAAAATACTTTATTTTTAATTAAAACAAATGAGAAGTTGACCTTGAGAGCTGTCGCCACGTGCAGGAAGAATTATCTTTAAGTAGCCATGAAAAAAAGAGTGAGCCATTCCTGATCCATAGTCCAGGCCATTCAATTGTTTCATAATATGATCTTCCCAGGCAGGGCACACTTCCTGAAAGTCATAGTACCCATTTAGTTTTAAAAAGTTACTACCCTTGTTATTACCTTTCCAGAAATAATACATGGAACACTTACAGATTGCATAATACAATGTAAAATATAGTAAGAACAAAAAGATAAAGAGAAAGGAATAGGTCCAATATCTTTCCATGTCTCACTAAGGTTCAGTCTGTCTGAAAAGAGAAACTGCAAAAGAAATAAGGTTTAGAATTCTTCCAACCTGGATACTAGAGTCCACTTTAAAACAAGAAAAGAATTTTGGAATTTGAACAGACCGCAAAAGTTGTAAATGCAGTGCATGTTGAGATTTTATTGAAGCATAGAGTTCTCTCGAAAAGTTGCCGGTAACTCCCACAACACCTAGAAAAGAAAAAAAAAGTTAGATGAACAATATTTTAAATATAGAAAGTGAAATCTTCTCGAGTTTATCATTACTTACAATTTTTGAACGTGGCTGCACTCTTCAGAAAGCAAACACAGTCGCCAAATGATCTGAGATACAATCAACACTGCATTTGGTACAACACTGATTGCAACTGCAGAAAAAGAGAAAATTTTGATCAAGCATGTAACAACATAATTGATTTCAAATATATTCTTAGCCATGTTAAGCAATAATAAGATGATACTATGTCTATGCTGGAAAAATTCAGTGCTACTTTTGAATTGTTAGTAATGACAAGAAAACAACATGGTTTGGACATTTTTGTTTCGCACTGGTTTTTCTGCCATTGAAGGAAATGTGCCTGGTTTGTATGGCTAATAATTGCTTATATATTGTATACGTTGCTTACCAATTTGCTGAAAAGAGTTTGCCCATAAGCAGTTCACTAATTTAGGAAAGAGAAGATTTAAAATTCAAAATTAGATTAAAGAATGTAAATTAATACCAAAATTACATGCATGCAGTTTAAGAATAGGCGTCAGGTGCTCTTCAATAAAGATTCCCCCAATTATAGAAGGAACTTTTAAATTGTAAATGTGATGAGTAATAAAATATCTAAAATAGATTTTAAAATACCGACGACATCTAAATAAATAAGGAGCCCAGAAAACATCAAATTAATTTCACTCGTTTTAGGTAATTGAACGGTCCCAATAAACAAGAAAAACAACAAGTCATTTGCGGTCTTTGACTCTACCTAAATTTTGATCATCCATACAGGCCAAATGACACTGTAGTGTCAGTCAAAACATGCAAATGATTCCATTACGAGTTCGACCACTTGAATTGAACAGGGCATATCTCCAGTCATGTGTGGTACATTCCCTCACTTGTATTTTTAATTTTATTCGATTCTCTTTAATGCTCCCTGCTTAGCTTTAAGGGAAACGGGAAACCTCCCATCGAAAAGCACCACTTGTTGGAGTATCTGGTGCCTTTCATTAAAAATAACGACAAAAATCAAAGTTATATTAAAGTACTTGCCTGTGAGCAATATTCCTATGGAAACAAGCCATCCTATGTAAATATGTCTCGTACCTCGTTTTACAACAGGGGGACGATTAACAAGGGGATGAACACCTGACAATGTCTGCAAAAATTATGAAATGAAATAATGAACATTGCGAAGGGGAATCCCACATAACATTTCCATTACCAATGGATTGAACATAGTATAGGCAGATATTTAAACATACCTTGCCTCCCATTGTAAGAGAAGCCTAAAGTTGTGGTAGGTCAGGACGACAGATTTGAATTTCAGAATTGAGGGTTATGGATGATATCAGTTCAAGGTATCGTTAAGTTTTGAGTATGGGTGGGTTGGAAGCACTGTCCGAAACCTATACATCAACATAACCTCTAGCTCACGTTTTCTTCTTGAAATGGAGACGTACGTATTTAATTATATTCTTTTATTGCAAAAGGAGTTTAATCTGTGCTTTGATGTGCCACTATATTTTAACATTCTGTACTTCTGAGCGGCATGTCTTTTTTTTTCAGGATTAATCCAAACTCTGCCATGTTAAGCAATTTTGAGGTATGTAAAATTTTGTTTGAGTTTATTAATTATTTAATGAGTTATTCTACTCACTTTTCTTTTAACACATGCACATGCTTTTCAGGTTCTGGCTCTTCTGCAGGAACTCAAGTCTCAACAGAAAAAAAATAGAACTGCTCGCAATAGCCCTCTAGCCACAATAATATACGAGGTAATACATAAACATATCTATTCGACACTTGTGAAAAAAGTCCGCTGGCCTATCAATATTTTCGAAAAACAGAAACATATCAAATGAATCTAAAATTCCTTCTAATTTATTTCCCTTTTATCTCAGGCAACTCGCTACCTCCAAGATTCACCCTGTAAGCTTCAGACAGCAGAGCATGTGCGTACATTCCTCACTGCTCTAAAAGAATTTAAGTTGACAAAAGCTGAGAAGTTAATGCTACTGAATAATCCACCATCAACCCCATTAGAAATTCAAGTGGTAAGTTAAATATTTTCCCAACCCATAAACTTATCCCTTGCTGATATTTTATCTTACTTCTCCTTTATGGTGATAAGTGGATAAGGTCGATTCACCTGAAATTGTCTCTGTGATGTTCAGATGGTAGAGGAGAGTGAAGAAAGGTTTACTGAAGACGAGGTTGAAAAACTACTTCAAATTATTCAGGAAATTCTACCTGTTACCCAAAAGGAAGAAGAGGAAGATATGGACAGTTAGATAAGGAGATAAATGTCTGTGATGAAACTTTAAATAACCTTGCAGCGAGCAAAGTAAGCTAACTATATGTATCACTGGTGATATCAATATGTATTAGGAATTGTAAATATAATTAGTAAAGTGCCATTTTTGTGGAAGTTTCTGTCTACTTTATTTCAGTCAGATGGCCCTCCAATAGAACACACCATTGGTTTTCTATAGACCTTTTCGCCCTCAATTTGGCAACAATGCGAATCTCCATAGTAAAATGATAATTTTTGCAAATTTTCAAATAGCAAAAAACACTTGTCCCTGGCAAATTTTCCAAGGAACCCAGTGGTGATGAGGAATTTTGTTGACGGGCACTCAAAATACGGTACATCTCAAGTATAAAATTCTACTTGCGATGTTGCCTCGTTGTGGGAGAAAAGGTCTATTGCAGTTCAGGTTGTTAAGAAATGCTACAATAAATAAATTATCACTAATTCTGACGATATCTGGGCATTTCTGTGAGAGACTCAACTGGACCTAGACTCGTCATTTTCCAGATTAGGATCACTAAATTGTTGTGGCACTAACAAACAATGATAAAAACTACTAATATTTTACGTACAACGGTTCAACTCCCAAATGTAAATGTGTATGAAATATGAAATGAATGAAAATGTCTTACCCGCTCTTAATTTAAAAAGCAAGTGCCTTTGTGTGCAACAGGAAATGTCCCTACATATTTCTTTTTACTTTTGTTCTTCTGTCGTCGGTTCAGGGAAATATTGAACCATGATTGGACTGACTGCGCACATAGCATAACATTGACAGCGGGCACATGTAAATTATGAGCAAAAACAAGTATTTTTGCCTCTATATCTTTCTTGATGAACTGTAGGGACTGTTACCCAGTTACTGGCAACACACCTCTTATTTTCTTCCACATATTGGATGTTGGCAACATTGTGTACAACTTTGAGGAATCAAATCAACTAAACTTACCGGATTATTAGTACCTCGTTTGTACATACAGTTCAAAGCGCATGTAATGTTTTGATTTTCTTTGTTGCCCAAAAGCTACTCTCTTTTCTTGTGTACATTGTTTCTCCTCAATCTTTTCGATCGTATTTTTCCTCTGATTTGGATTAGATGAGTTTTGGCCCAAGTCAGTTTTCTGAAGAGGTTGTGTTGTCTAATTTCCAAAGTGTCTCTGTTTTTGGTATTTTGTTTCTACCCATTAACAATTTTAGTGCTCTCCTCTGTGTACCATTACTGTCACTTGATTTATTTATTTTTAATTTATGTGGCTTACTATCGAAAATCGACTGAGATATGATGTCTTTCCCCTTAATATTATTCAGCCTTCGCACTCCGGGCTACTACACTTAATCACATATCGACGCAAGTGTTTTTTGTTTGTCTTTTCTATGCCGCCCCTTGGCTGTCCCTGTATTGCCATATTTATGCCAAATCCACTCTCTTTACATTAAGTCCATCGAAATTTTGTTGGTTTATCATGTTGTTATATAATGTTCCTAACCTTGTTATTTCAAACATTTTCCGGCGAGTAGGCCGTGTGTAGTTAACGCCACATGATATTCTAGCGATCCCTTCGAAGGACACTTGTTTTTACCGCGTTGCCACTATTTTTCTTGCAGTAATTTTGTCCCTCTTTATCCCAATTAATTAGTCAACCATTTACATTTGTTCAGTTAAATGGAAAATTTAATATTTATGTCAACTAATGTTCTTTTTATTGTCTCATTCAGGCTAATTCAACACTATGCTCTGAGAATTCAGCGTTAAACCAACCACCATGGATATGGAGAAAGCCTTATCTATGGTGCTTGACACCTTACAATGTGCTTCCAGTCAAAATCAAGAAAATTTTAAACCTGCTGAAAAGAAGTTGCAGGAATGGGAAACAGAACCAGGATTCTATTCTATCTTATTGGTATGTCAAGAAGGTTTTGTTTTCATAGATCATTTCACAGGTCATGTTCATAACTCAAGATTTTTTTAAATTTGTTTTAAAAATTTGTTTATTGTTTATTTCAGAATATTTTTTCTAATCATGCCGTTGAAGTAAATGTAAGGTGGCTTGCTGTCCTATATTTTAAAAATGGTGCTGAAAAATACTGGAGGAACACTGCTCCAAAGTAAGCTTACACTTCAACGTCAAGTACATAAAAAATTAACATGGTCTTCATGCATATTATGTCTTCTGTACTTTAGTGCCATATCTGAAGAGGAGAAGGCAAAACTCAGGCAGGGGCTTGTGGCCAACTTCAGGGAGCCTGTGAGTCCTCTTGCGACTCAGCTAGCTGTTGTCATTGCGAAGGTTGCTCGTATGGACTGTCCCAAGGATTGGCCTGAGCTTGTCCCAACACTTCTGACTGCAGTTAGGGATGCAGATCTTTTAGTTCAGCACAGAGCTCTTCTTACATTACATCATGTTGTAAAAACATTATCATCAAAACGGCTTGCTGGTGATCGACGACTGTTTCAAGAATTAACAGGAAATGTTTATTCTTTTGCGCTAACTCTTTGGAACACTCATACTGAGTTATTCCTACAACAATTTTCTGAGAATGCTGTAGCAGCTGCACCATGCTTAGAAAAAGCTCTATTAGCCTTACGAATTTTACGAAAACTTACGGTTCATGGGTTTCTGAAACCTAATGAATCTGAGGATGTTGTGATTTTTATTAATATGGTGTTTGACCGTGCCAAGACAATGCTAGAGTGTAGTAAGTTTAATCTAACTAGGCAATTTAATCATTAGAATTTCACTTGTAGCTTTACTGAAATTTATCTGTTTTGCAGGAAAGCAGCTTCCAAGTAAAAGTGGCTTGCGGGACCTGATAGAGAAGTTTATCATTAATTTGACTAAAGTCTTAAATTCTGTTCTGGAAACACATCCATTTTCTTTTATTGATTTTATTCAGAAAACCCTTGAATTTACTGTGTTTTACACATTTATGTCAGGCAACCAGGAATGGTTATTTGAGCGATTCAAGATTCAGTGCCTTAATCTTATCAAACTTATTATGTTATGTGTGGAGTATAAGCCTGCTAAAGTTGTTGAAGGTAAAGTATTTCTGGTGATTGTAAAATTTTCAATGCTTTTTTTCCATTTGGCTTACGCATCATTAACCTGTCTTCAGAAACCAAGGATCCTAATACATTACGTGCCCATCAAATCAAGACATCATTTTTCACTCCAGAAGTGCTAACTGCAATCTGTCAGGGCCTTGTTGGTCATTACTTTCTCCTGACTCAGGAAGATTTACAGATGTGGGATGAAGATCCAGAAACATTTGGTAACTAACATTTACATTTTAACGCAAGACTGTGTCGGAGCATTTTATTATTGATGCTCCCCACCACAGTTGGTGTTTTTTTTTGTTTTTTGTTTGTTTGTTTGTTTGTTACTCGTTCTTTACCACCACCTGCACCTACTCAGTGGTAGAAGAACGAGTATTGATCTCAGTGCGATGTCACGCGTAACGCTATTCATGCTCGCAGTACAGAATATGTACACTTATGATACTTGTACCATTCGAAACTGGGAATGTTGTAGGCGTGACCAACAATGGACCTTTTTTCAAGTTTGACACTACTTTTTTGAGAACTCTTAACAAAATTCGCCGGTTTTCGTTCTAAGTCGATAGACCCGTGCCGCACAACAAATCTTCATCTTGGAACACGAAGCGCATACAGACATGACAATACTACCATTCGAAACTTCGTTTGCTAGTATTACTGGAAGCAATGAAGATTGTTTCGGTCTAATAGCAAAATTTTGAGAACTCTTAACAGATTTCACAAGTTTTCAGTCTAAGTCCTGTCTGCCTATGTTGCTTCTGCTATTGTGCCGCCAACTGTAGATTCATATTCATTTTGGTTTTCACGGAACGCGCATCTTTTTGAAAGCGCCGACTTTTGCAACAATGCTCTTGTCTTGTGACCTGAAGGGAATACCGAGAATAGCGCCTGTTTTAGCCTTCTCTTTAATTTCGTCATCATCCAGTTTCATATGGTACATGTTTAATAATAATATATATTCTCAGAGAAACGTGACACATGTTGACAGAACAACACTCGTTGATTCTACAACCATATAGATGTAAAGCAACTGAGCACTGAAAGGGTCTCTGTAAAGGACGAGTACCAGTATTCACACAAAATTAATTTTGTGTTTTCTTTCCTCCTTGTTTATTTTTCCCTTGTTGATTGATTGCCTTGTGTATCTTATTTCAAAGATATTTAATGACATTCATTTTTATTTCCAAATAGCAAATGACGAGACTGGAGAATGTTGGAAGTACAGCTTGAGGGTAAGTTTCCTATTGATTAAAGAAATATTAATGTGTAGCATCAAATCTGTTGAATTATAATATTTTATTATTTTTGTTCTACAGCCTTGTACAGAGTGGTTATTTATGACTGTTTTCCGTGAATTCCACACAATCCTTTCCCCTGTCCTTTTAGCAATGATTCAGTCTAACCATGGTCCTGTTTCTGGCAATGATCTCAATGCTATACTTGTTAAGGATGCCGTGTATTATGCAGTTGGTCTTGCAGCATTTGACTTATATGATGTGGTATGTTAGTGTTCATATGTTACTTTACAAGCACTGTTTCCATATACTGCACTCCTGATATTACTTTTTTAATTAACAGATTAATTTTGATGAATGGTTCTTGACTACTCTCCGACAAGAGCTACAGCTACAGGGTGGTCATTATCGTGTATTGCGACGTCGGGTTGCCTGGTTGCTGGGTCAGTGGACCGGTGTTCGATTTTCAGCCGAGCTAAGACCTGTGTTGTATAGTGCTATGTTATCATTGTTGCAACCAAATGAAGATTTAGTTGTTCGTCTGACTGTGTCACATGCTTTAAAATTAGCCATGGATGATTTTGAATTCAGTACTGATCAATTTCTTGAGTACCTGGAGCCTGTTATTGGGTTATTATTTAACCTTTTAAAAGAATGCAAAGAATGCGACAGCAAGGTATTTTGTCATATTCTGTGGTCTTCCTATTGGCACAATGTTTATTCCACATTCACATACTTACTTCTGTTTCGTTTAATTGTACAGATGCATGTGTTATATGTCATGTCCTTTGTTGTGGAGAGAGTTGGTCATCCAATCAGACCCCATGTATCCAACCTTATTCAATACCTACCTTTGGCTTGGGAAGAATCCGCAGAACATAGTATGTTAAGGTGTGCCATTGTATCCACATTGGTTCAGATAGTGAAGGTAAAATTTTTGTTTCCTCTTTTGAACGTTTCATATGTCTTACTCAACAAAACAACTTACATGGTTATTTTGAAACATCCCTCCTTTTCTAGGCAATGGCCCAGGAAAGCAAAGTTCTTCACAATTTTTTGATGCCAGTCTTAGCACTTTGTACAGACATGCAGCAAGACTCCAATGTTTATCTCATTGAAGATGGGCTAGCATTGTGGCTTGCTTGTGTAGAAAATGCAACTGAAATGACAGATGAGCTTATGCAACTATTTCAAAACATGCCTCCACTTATTGGTAACAAATCAAATGACATATTCTCCTCTGATTATGTGTGTGATTTACTGTACTCTGTACTTACTATAGTTTGGTTGTTTTTCAGAATCCACTACAGAAAATCTTCGTATTTGTCTCATAATCACACAAGCATATGTGCTTTTGTCTCCAGAATGCTTTCTGAAGGTACCTTGATTGATTCTTTACCATGCCAAAATTTAGTCAATGTAAAGATGAATATGTACCCCATAAAATTCTGTGTTCTAGGTTTATGGAGATACCATGTTAAAATCCTGTCAGTATATGCTGACTGATTTACGTCCTGAAGGTGTGGTTATCATTATGAGGTATTTTGAGTTATGTTTGAGAGCTGCCCCTCAACTTTCATGTGAACTGTTGAAGCCTTTGATCTCACAAGTAATGATGTAAGTATTATTTCCCCCACATTATTTGTTAACTTAAAATGGGCTTTACAGTCTTTGGTGAGTGATGTAGCTCTTAACGTTGTCAAGACATTTAATTCAATTTATTGTTACTACATATTACTATTTTATTCCAGACATGTTTGCAATATGCAATGTAAAAGATATGAGAAATCATGTAAAACCTTTGCTGTATATGCCTGTATTATTTCTCGAGTTCTACTGTGTTCTAAGGACACTTTTAGTCAGGTCAGTTCAGTATACAGTGAAGCTTAAAATGTAAAAATAGCCTTATAATCTAAATCTAAGGACTGGCATGAAATTTGATATTATTTGGTTTTCACTGTGCACACATTCTTTCAAGAAGGTGATAGCATTAATGCACTAACTTTACAAGCACAAGATATTTCAACGAATTCTGTGTATCTTTCAGATGATGAGGGAAGCTGCTCAGCAGTCTGGTCAGACTGAAGATCAATTTTTTGCCACTCTCCTGATGAGCTGGAACAAATGGATGCCTCTTGTAAGTGGTTTGGGGCGTAGAAAAATTTTGGGCTTGGCCTTATCCTCTTTACTTACTGTGCAATCAAGGTATGGCAACAATTAACCATGAAACCATGAGCTTTTTCAACATTGTATCTTTGCTTGAACTCAATAACTTAATTTTCCATTTTAATCATTCTTTTTAGGATTGTACTTGATGAGTTCAGTGGAATTATTCGTAATGTTGTTGAATCATTAAATGACATCACCAAACCAGATGAAACGGGTGCTCCTATAGAGTAAGTACATGCTCGTAGCATATATGCTTGTATCGTCAATTAAATACACAAGAAATTCTTGTTTAATTGTGTTGTGTATGTATCTTTTCTGCTAGCATTATGTGCTGTAGTTTAAGTGTGCCATCAAGTGAAACTGATGAGATTTTTGATCATGAAACTGAGCATGATCAACGAATGAAGCGTCTTGCTACACAAGACATAGTGCACACAGTTGTTCTTAGAGACTACCTTTTGTCCCAAGTAAGTTTGTGTGTTTATGATTAAAATTCTCCTCTGCTACTCCTACTCCGCTGCTCTTATGTAATTTTTATCTATTTCAGCTCAATGAATTAAAAACCCAAATAGGTCTGGAACCATTGCAACAGTTTCTTAAAAGCCTAGACAGCGAAATAGCTTCAATGCTTGAAGAGTACATGAATGTAAATGGTAGGGAGTCCCATATTGAGTCTCATTTCACAGACTTAAGAATCTCCTGAGCAAGTGGTTTACACCTAAAGGGAAGAGACGAAAAAATAAATTATTGATTTATAATTGAATCAAATAGATTTTTATCACTGCTTATTTGGTACTGTTGACCAATGGATACATTTCCTCCTGCTATTCAAGTAATATTGTTATGAGAAAATAATCTTATATTATTATTAATAAAATCCAATTTTGTTAACAATGTTAACTTTGTTGTTATATAGATTCAGTGCTTTTGACCATCAATCATGAACTAGTTGATCAAATTAAATGGTTGCACAACCCAATTTTCATTATGAATTATTGAAGCATTTAGAGCTCTTATATTTGACTTTGGTGAAAGAACTGTATGCTATACTTTAATTACATAGCCCCAAGAGCATATTGGCATTATGCATTTTCCTGATCTTTTAATTTTGAGCCCGTTTTTGTAATGGAATTTAGGTGTAATGAAAATTATGTAGTTAGCTGAGCTGATGTGGACGTGACTCCTGTAGATGTATTTGGTAATAATGAAAAACTGGCGTCATAGATTGTACAAAACTCATGCATGCATCTGAACTTTAAAATGTATCAAGCTGTTAATTGCTGTTAAAAATAAACAACGAAAAACCGTTTATTGACAGCGGTAACACTAACAGAACTATTTCATATGAAAAAAGGGAAGTGAAGGAGTAAAAGACTTCACAGTCATTTAATTTGTCCCTCAGTTTCTCTTTCTCTGTATTCTATGCTTTTAAGGGATGTCATCTTTGTTCTATATTTAACATGTCACTTTCATTTCAATTTTTTGAAAATCTATTATTATCTTATTTATATACTCCTGAGGTGACACCTTCAAAACTTTTCTTTATTCAGGTGGTTATCTTCCTACTTCTTTTAATTACATGATGATGTACGATGTATGCCTACCCACATAATTATTTTGATTTCATATTCTCCAGTAGAGAGGGTTTTTCTTGATTAGTGTTAATTTGCTGATTTCTTCTATGAGTTGTTCTACCATTCTTTACTATGATTACTTTCAAGGACTTTTAACCAATTTCTCCCTTTTACTTATCAAGCAAGAAATAGAAAGACCACCACAATCCCAATATTCTGCAGGACAAGTGTTGTACGCAATAATTCATTAGCTAGAGCACTATGAGTTGGGTCCGAATCTGTGATGCAATGTTACATATGTGGCTTTGTCCCCCCATTTTTCCCCTTTCTACAGTACCTTCATTATTTGAAGTGGTAATGTTAAAAATGACTGACTGTGACTCTTGTTGCCCTTTTAAACAAGATTTCCTGAGTACTGATTTATAAGGTCTGTTGTTGTAAGTGAGGGGGAGGATTTACCGTTGGTTGCATGTTTTTTGGATATTAAGCCCATTAGAAAGTGGAATCACCGGTAGCTTCTCCTCCTCTGTTATTATATTTAAATGAAAGTTTGTGCTATTGTGTATAACTCAAATCTGGTTAGTATTTTTAAAAAGTAAGAAATGTTGCATAGTTTGTAGATTTCCACCTAATGGGTTAACTCTCCAATTCTTTGTAGAAAATAGAAAAATGTTTTCAGTCCCTTTATTTTAGTTAGTTTTTTTTTTTTTTTGAAAATGTACAAATGCGAAGGCAGAATTTATTTAAATCTGTTTTTATGCCACAGTTGTTTCTCCCAAATAACATGGAAATCAACCAAATTCCACAGCAGACAAGATTTTGTGAGGTTCGGTGCATGTGATACTCAACATAACGAGGATTCTTTCATCTTCATGTCCTTACTATGTTGAATATCACTGAAATACAAAAATATAATCTTAGAGTCAGTCATGAATAAGACTCCAAAATTTAAGGCAGTTGTTTATGTGTAGTTTCACTGAAGTTAAGCTGCAAGGATTTCCATGAATTATACATTATACTTGAGCAATAAACTCTGAGGCTGAGTCTGAAAATGGATAAGCGGCAAACTCTCCTATCTTTTGGTTGTCAACATAGTTGTATGAGAAGAAACATGTCTGACAAAAATAACAAGGGTCGTGTGGAACACGTGAGTTCCCAACAGTTACCCACCTGTAAAATATAGAATAAATTATACAGAATGTGCAGTCATAATTTTTGAAGAAAATTGGTCTAGAGCTAGAGAATAGGACTTACTTAGCAATATAGTGCCCACATAGCATGCAGTAACGAGAATGCTGTCGACACATGCTTCTCAAAGATGGATACAGAGATCTTTGAAGTGGATCTGACTGATGGAGAAGCCTAGAACAAATAATAATGAAATGATAGAGAGCTCTATGAGACTTAAAGAGCACCAAAGTAAACATTCGCAAAACCACCACACGGTACTCAAATTCATCCAAAACCTCTCATCTTACCTTATGTCAGAAAAACAGAAGAGATGTTCACAATTTCCCTGGTGCTGATAAAGGTAAGGATAGCCCAATCTCACTGAGAGATCAATAATATTAGTATCCTCCATTTTTGCTTTGTTTCCCAAATTTAGATGTCTTTCTTTGGCCCATTTGAGTACCGTTTCACTATACTCTATATTTGAGGAGTGCCGTGTATCATCATAAAACTTGTCTCCAATATAAATCATTCCAGACTTATATTTGTCCTATAACATTTTCAAATGGTGTAAATACACTTAAAGAGGAGATATATAAATTTTAAAAACTCTTGAATAATACCTTAGCCATATTCATTGTTTTACAGAATGGATTTGAGCTGAGATCTTGACAAATAATGTGGTCAGAGGCACATGGAAACTTATCTCTCAAGTCGGCTAAAGTTTGAGAACCAAGAACAGCAATTTCCTGCCCGCCAGTCGCAATTTTAGTACTACGCTTACCAATCTTGTGTTTGAAAGGGGCATAGATACGAATAACAACAAATAAATCAGTCCCTGGAGTCAAATCATCTTTCTGAGACTTGCTTGACTTCTGACTTTTTTCCTGCAAGAAATGCAAAATACAAATCAAATCAGAGAATGACATTTAGCACAAATGATTTCTATTCATATTGCACGATTGCACTAACCAGCAAGAGGATTCCTGCATATTTCATGTGCCGTTCATGAAATCTGGTACGGATTTTAGCTCTTTTTACTGTCTCTAGATCGGACTTCTGTGGCAAGTCAACTCGGGAGAAGAGGCTGGCTGTTTGAACATCTTTAGCCCGTGCTCCTGCCATTGATGCATCTGCCAGATTATCTGAACTACAAACAAATTTACAACGGTTGATAAGTGGACTGGATATGCATGACATCTGTCGATCAAGAAAATGGTAAGTACACAAACCTGCAAATATTCTCTAGGTCAGTGAATTCTGAATCTGTTAGATTACTGTTCATCATATCTAACATCCTTTCCCTGTAAGCATTGTCCTCGTGGTTTTTCGTAATTCCTTCTTCTGATATCTGACCATGAACAAAAGGGTGGTGCTGAAGTGATGCCTCAGTTAAGAAATCACGCAAACAAATGGGTTCAGATGTGTAATCTAGTTCACCACATCCGTAAATTTTCTCCATTACTCCAAGTTTTGACGAGTTGACGCAGAAAAACGAACTTTTTACGACAAAAGTACGATGTGCGACAGACCCAATGTTTTGTTTTGATAGCAATGTTTCGTCAAGTTTCGTCTTGTCTGCTTGCCGGGTCTTGCTTGCATCTCCCCTCCCCCCTCCACCAACAACAGTTGCCAAACGAATGTATCACCAACGTTGGCAGCAATGTATTTGGAAAGGAGGGGGGCGAGGGGAGGGGAGGGCTATTGGCGCCCAGCGCATAGGCAACACGCCACGTCCAAGGGGAAAAAAAATCACAAGTGTATTTCATTCAAATGATACTTAGGTTGAATCGTTCATTACCATCCTTTCAATATATAGTGAAGTTACATAAATATCCATGTAAGTTAGTTTATTTCATCTATAAAATCTGTCATTTGCAGTTGGACTCGCCCGGCTCAGCAGGTGTTGAAGGTGTAAAAAAGTGTCGTACCTAGCTAAAGGTAGTGGTTCATAAAGTTAGGGTCTGTAGAATAGGTGATCAGGCCTTCTGTTTCGTAGCACATAAATTACTCAGTCAATTTAAGAGGACAATATTTATTTTCTGCTGCATTAAATTGGTCCCCCTCACACTTACAGGTATTAAACAGACTTAGAAGCAATATCCAACCAAGAAACAAACCAACGACAGTGCAAAATCTGCGTTTAGCCAAAAGCAGAATTCGATACGTTTACAGATAGGTAAAGGTGGTCCAGGGCTGTGAAAACATCTTGAATATTATGTTTTACATCCACCAAAAAAGCCTCTACGCATCAAAAAATTTGTGTGTTGTGCTGAGCGCAGATTTTGAGCAAGCACAGTTTCATTTGAAGTTGGATATAGCTATGTAACATGAGCAGACAACAACTTTAGCAAATGTTCCACAAACCTAAAATAACAAGATAAAATAAGACAAAAAAAATTATATAAGTTTGCCTTTTTTATATTATCACAACAATGGATCCCTTCTTCCATGTATAAAAGCAAATTAGAAAAATAGGATTGCAGGAAATCACTTTTAAAGAAAAAATATATCAAAACCATTAGATGAATAAATAAACAAAATTGAGAAGGTTTGGATCTGTAAACCAATACACGTTAAGAAGGAAGGAAAAGAAACAAGTAGAGAAACACAGGAGCCAGCACTGTCTGAAGACTCATAGAACATAACATAACATTGGATAATATTTACAACAAAAATCATAAATATATCACTGAATAAGTAAATTTATCATCACAACATGCACCCCTAACAGAATTAAATGTAGGCCTTTTCGTTAATTCAAATTTCAGTGACAAATGCTCTCTTTTTCTGATAATGGATTATCACAAATAGGAAAGTCTTTGAGTCAGAGCTACCAACAAATTAAACAAATATAAATGTTTAATTTTAAAGGTATTGGGACTAAATCTATAATGATTCAATAAAAAATTAAAAAAAGGGCATGGATCACAACAATTTTTAGGAATCTCTAGAACCAAGAGATAGCAAAAAGAAAAAAAGGAGAAAGAAAATATTTTCTTCGTCAATGAACAGGTAAAGGTAGATAAGTTCTTCACCCTACAGAATATGAAAGACAAGATAGATGCACTGACCTGAGTTCCCATTGCAAAACCAATAAAAAATTATCAAAAACTTCAGATTGAAAGTTTCATTTGACCAAAACTCCAATAATACTTCTTAGCGAGTCCAGACAGGCATTAATCAAAAACTTATTCACTGGTTTGATTCCATTCATACTTCACAGCAAGTAAGGTAACTGAATATGCAGCTAAGCTTAACAAAATTACTTTAAAAACACTAATTGATTTACAAAATCTGAAGGATTCAGAAATATTTACACAATAGCAACACTGAGTAAATTTTCAGGTACATCTGTTGGAACTCAAGCATTGGACTTAAAATTTGCAAATGCAGCTAGAAACATGACATCAGTACAACGTACATCACTACATCAGTAACACAGCAGAACAGTTTATTGACAAACATTTTGTCTAAGAATATTGTCTGGAAATTCACAAAATAGAGAAGTAACCCAAATTATATGTAGCTGAATGAACTTAATCATGCAAATTTCTAAAAAGCAGCTTCACAAGCAAGTTTTGTTCATGACCCAAACTCTTCAGTGTCAGCCTCTATTTTCTTGAAGTCAAAGGCTCCACGTCCGTCCATTTGAAGATAGTACTGAAAATTTAATTACAGAATACAATACAGCATAAGAAATAAAAAAGGAGATCATCTGAACTTAAGTATTGATGCCAACCTCATGGTGTTTCCATAATGACCGCCGGTGGCTGACAGTGAAGAGAGTAATGCCTGCCTCCCGACAGTAATCATACATAGAACCCTCCACATCGACACTCACAGCACTTGTGCATTCATCAAGTATAGCAAACTGTGGAGCATGGTAGAAGAGGCGCGCCATCTAAAATATAGGATGGTATTACATAAATTGTTATAGCAACAAAAATGTCTTCATAAAACAAATAATTAGACAAATACTGAGGCCTTACAGCAATACGTTGCTTTTCTCCTCCAGAAAGAACATCAATCCAATCAGCAACAGCATCCCATCCATTTTCACGAGTTAATAAGTAGGAAAGCTGAACTCGTTCTAGATGTCTTGTTAAATCAGCATCAGTTTTACCCCTGGAGGACGAAATTAAATTAATCTTGAGGAGAATGTGAACATTGGTGTAAAAAATAAAAAGATTGGGGGGATATGAACCTGCGTTGCATCTCATCACGAGTATGTGGATATATAACCTGGTCCCTCAATGAACCCAAAGTCATGTATGGTCTTTGAGGAATGTAGAAAAGTTTTCCTCGAGGGGGCTTTGTAAGAGTACCTCCAAACAATGGCCAAAGCTGGAAAAATAGATTTTTAGTAAATTCAATACTAAAAGGAGTATAAACAAGTTTCTTGTTGACATGAATTTACCTCTCCTAAGATACGGAACAGGGAGGACTTCCCACATCCATTAGGTCCACACACCAACACATTCATTCCTGACTTCACTTCAAATGAAAGCTCCTTTACAAGAATATCGCCATTGGGAGTAACCAATGGGACTTTGTCAAATCGAATAATATTGTCTTGGAAAATCATCCGACCAGATCCAGGAATAAGAGGCTGCACTGGAGCTTCTTTGTCAGCACTGTCAGTTACCATTGTCCGTTGATAATGACCCTCATTTACATCTTTCAAAACATTCATGAGTTCTGTAACTCTTGCTGTAAAACCAGCAAGGCGGGTCATTTCTCTGCCAGCGAGAACTAATCGCCCAATGGCCTCAGCAAGTTTTACCATCATTCTTCCATAGGTGTAGTAATACTGAAATAGATAACATAGATTAAAAGATAATTAAATTGAGAAATATAAGAGCATCTCCACTGCAAAAACAAGTGAGCCATGTGTCAAACAAAGTCGGGCCCTCCCTGGAGAGAACGTTGCTTGAAGCATTCCACTCAGACGCAAATAAGGGATACGGGCATCACGCATCATAGTGCATCATAACATGAGCGACATACGTGTCACATTAGTTTTTCCGTTGATGCTCTTTTTGCAGTTTATTGGACTCACCCTGAATCTTTCTTCTTGTCCTATTTTTGACAATTGAGCATGTTCAGTATTCATAAATGGAATACTGAATGCTATCATTCCAACTACTGTTGCAAAATCTAAAATCAAACAAGAACGTTAGGTTAAATGGGTTAAAAAGAAAAATTAGCATGGATTACAAAAACACCCTATGTTTACATACATTTGGCTACTATGTTGTCCACCACACCAACAACTGTTCGGAATTCTAAACAATTGCGAAGATGGTCAACCTAGTTTTAAAAGATAGATGTGTAAAACAAAAACACAATTTTTACTGAAAAAAAAAAATCCTGTAAAAAAAAGTTATGGAAAAACTTACAAGTCTTTTGAAAGAAACAAGCATAGTGAGTTTTTCACGGTTGTTTCCGTTGTAGAATGCAATCTCTTCAGAATTAGTGATAAGTCTTGAGTTAATGTATCGGAACTCTCCTTCAAGCTTTTGCTCTTCAGCTGTCATACGACCCATAGGGCGACGTAGATAAGTCAGGAATGTTCCTGACACAACCAAATAAACCATCATGGTAGCTGGAGTCTGTCAGAAACATAAAAACCTTTCTAAATTAGCAGGAGGCTGGGTGAATTAAAATATATGTACCAGAAAACTCATGTCAAGTACCTGTCCTCCCAAAACAGACGTAAGTCGATACACATAAATGAAAATATCTAGAAGTGGCTTCAGAATATTAGAGTACAATTCTGTCACTGAGTCACAAAATTTGTCCACATCTTGGGTTAAGAGTTGATCTGCATTGGCAATTCTTGTGTCAAGATTATTCATTTTGTAGTATGTGAAGCCCCTATTTGAGAAAAATATAGTAAGTGAATGTAGAAAAAACAATTAACTTTCCATTAATATTGAAGCAAAATAAAAAAAAGAAATACGTACTTAAGGTACTGCTCATAAAGATGATGAGTCATGCGAGTCCTCATGCGCAGTTTTAGCTCTCCCAAACTCCACTGTAATTAAGTACAAAGAGTTCTGTAAGCTTAGACCACACAGAGATCAGTATAGAGAGCACCTACCTATCCCATGATGAGTGCGACTTACTTTTAAAGTATTGTTGACAACAGAAATCTGGAATTTTTAAAAAGACAAAAAAGTTATTCATGGGTCTTTTCAATTTAAAAAAAAAAAAAAAAAAAAAAATTACTGTTCTAACGAAAGAGAAGTCAATATGTACTTACCAAAGGCATACCAGCAAAAAAAACTAATAATGTGCTCTTGAATCGATTCTTATTCATACTAACAATAGCTCTGCATCAGAAAAAATCAGTTTCAGTACAATTTATTTTCAACACGAAGTGATGACATATATCTTAGAAGTCACAGTCTTGAAATTTAAGTAAATCAAATCTAACATATTTTGGATCTCAGTCTTACGTTTCGACCTGGGTTGCATTTTGAATCATCCATATATCGCAAAAGGATCGAGCCACAAGAGATGCAGCAACAAGGATGCAAAATGAGGTTTCAGCAGAAAACCATCCTGGAATGATGATTTTAAGAAGTTTTTTAAGGTGGCCAAAGAATTCTGCATCAACCTGAGCCTTTGATTTAGATGACTTAGTTTTCTGAAACAAAGAGAAAATGGTCATTTGACTGCGCTAAGGAAAGAATACTGATCCATGCTTGAAAGCATAGTGATCCTTAACACTAGTCACTCAAGACAACTGGAAAGATCATACTTGTGCAATCCTGACTCCTATATGTAGGTGAATTCACATCAAGTCTTGCACCACAATAATTATCAAAACAATGAAATGAAAACTGGTGAACAGTATGTTCTAGCTTACCTCTCCAATAAGATACTGAATTTCATTCCGATCCAATTTCCTAAAAGTAAATGAAAACACAATTAAACAAAAGCATAACATGAAATACAGAATAATCGCACATATTTTAGAAGTGTACAAGAAATCGCATCACATTTTTAAAAAAAGTTATTAATAGTATATGCAACAAAAATATAACAAAAATTTAGGAATACTTTGGCAGAATAATGTATTTGTGAAATGTTAGATTACTTGTTTAACGACCAGAAAACAAACACAAATTGACCAAGAGATGCGAAATTTAGTGCATATTTACTCATTTTTTTAAAATGACTTGACATCAAAATAGACCAGTACTTGAAAGGGTTATGTTGTTCGGACAGCTAGCGTTCGGGAGGGAAATATAAAAGTATGTGAAGGTTCGACAAGCGCCCGGATTGGAAATGTTGTGTAAAATCCGTTGCTTTACCTGCTCTTTGTTGATTTGGTCAGCTGACGAATTAACCAGAGTGTGACGGCCGCCGATGACACAGCCAACACTGTCTTGGGGGTGCCGAGCTTGCTGATATTCGGAGCCATGGCTAAGGAATAGTGATAGACGATGATAAATTTGCTATTGCATTGGTCCACGAGCAACGGCTCTCTTGAGGAGTCAAAACACACGCACTCACTGTCGACTTGTTGAAAACACCAACACTGCTATGTGGGTCCGTGAAACTACTGGTTTCTCTTCTGCTTGGGGAAGAGGTTATGGGGCTTCCGCAGCTGATCCAGCAGGAGAGTTTTCCTGACAGCCTGACAGCAGAGCACACATACACTGTCACACACGCACACAGACCCCACGAGGAGCAGGGGGGCAGGGGAGGGGTGGAAAAGGGGTGGTTGGCACGCGCACTCTCTGTCTCACTCGCACACTCGCGCACTGCACCGCTGGTCGCGAGCTACCCGCGAGCTACCCGCGAAGAGGACGGGCGACTAGCGCGGACTGGGGCCCATCAGCCAGCACGGCCCCGCTCGGTCGTGCGGTGCGGGGCCTGCGGGGGGAACGGGGACAGGAGAGCGGGGAGAGTAGGTGCAGGGCCTAAACACCTCAACGCACCATCTGCTGGTGTGCGATAGGCGGGCCGTGCATGGTCTGCAGGGGGCAGAGGACAGCGGATAGCATAAGTGCAGGGCCTAGAACACCTCTCAAAGCACCATCTGCAGATGTTCGATCGATAGGCGGGCCAGGTGGGGTGTATGGCTGGGCGGGGTGTGTGTACCGGGTGTGAAACACCCGGTACAGCGCCGAAACACCTCAACGCACTAGCTGCAGGTGTGCCATAGAGATGTCCCCACCATCAATCAACGCTCCACAGGGCGACGCTACTGATGCCAGCGCCTGCCATGCCCAAGGTAGGCCAACCCGCCAGGCAGCTGTGTGAAGTCGGTGGCCCGCCTCAGAGCGCCTAAAGTGCGGCGCGGGAGGGAACTCCAGGCAAAAGAACGTTTGACGCCTAACATCCTCGCGCTAACTCGCGGTACTCCTCCTGCTGGCCTATCCCTTGTTACAACTGGCCACTCGTAGTCAAAGCTGGGCAAAACGGCATTATGCGCGAGAGCTGCCTCTTTCTCACGTCAGTCCAGTTTCCACTGTCGTCGCGATCGCTTCGCGCTATATGCTTCGTTGTGCAGGGCCACATAATCGCAACCATCTTGCGGTTGCAGACATTACGTCAACGAACGTCGACCAAAGCCCCGCCGTCCCGCCCCACCGCGCATTATTAGAGAGACGTTCGGCGGAAAGTTTCAGGCAGGCACGACAGCACGTGCAGAGACAGCCGGAAAAAGGAGGGGGGGGGGGGACTGCGGCTGCTGTAGACGCAGCTGCAGCTGGAGGGAGAGCTCCTTTGCTGGTTCATCCCGGGGACCGTGTTGTCGATCTTGAGCGAACTCACCGCTGAGTGAGCGGCGTTGTTGGGCGAGTTCGGGATCGAGATCGACAACACTGCCCGGCGGCCCGGCCCGAGTACACCAAAATACGGAAGTGCAGTAATGTATGTATGTTTTTGAGCGATATTGAGCCAACTCACATACGCGTGAGCTGAACTTCACACACCCACAGGAAGGACGCTGGCAGTGGAGACTGCCCACAACGTGACATCGGCCCAAAGGCGCGAGGTCTGGTTTAATTCTATCATTCCATTTCCCAACCATGTACTCGGATTCGCCGAGAGCTTTTTGTCTAGACATCGAGCGTCAATTCAAAGCGCGGTGGGAGTGAATCAGCTCACCGACAAGCCGATTTCGAGCGGAAAAAAATTGTGGCCGACTTGGTAGATCTTGTAGATCTCGCCGAGGCCAAGAAGAACAACATGTCAAAAAATTGAAGTTTTCCATCGAGCCACTTTTGAGCAAAGTCTGTTCAATGTTCGAATTTTTGAACAAAATTCATATTTATTACTCCGTGGGAAACAAATTTTTTGTCACATTTCGGGATTGGGGGGGGGGGGTGAAGAGGGACCCCATTGGCGCAGACATGAAAAGTGTCGATTCAATGTGGATGGGGTGTGGATCCACCTTAACTGAATGACAACGTTGCAGCTGCAGCCCCCATAATCCGGGTTATGGGTGGCCCGTTCAGTCACACCGAGGGCAGGGTCACCGTTCCCTCATGAAACCCTCCATATACCAGGTGGCTTACTCACGCAGCGCACTTTCGTGGTTATACTGTACCGCATGCAGGGGTGCGGGCGGGTTTGCATATCCAGGCTGCCGACGGCTCCTTATGGCCCCGTGCGAGTAGGTGACCCACCCGCACGCGTCCATGCGGTACAGTATGACTACGAAAGTGCGCGGCGTGAGTCAGCCACCTGGTGGGGTCGTTATCATCCCGGAACATTGCAAACTATACTAAATTTGACGACAGGGATCGTGCGGCAGCAGGGGTAGCAGTATATGATTACGATTCGAGCGTTAATTCGTTTTACATAAAAGGTTGAAAGCCACCGAGGAAGGTGTAGTGGGGGAGGCGGAGGGAACAAGTCATGATGGGCGATTGGCGCGCGCAGTTAAGGCAGGGGATAGGGGTGATATGTCAGCACATTTGAATATTGAAATTGTTTCTCCGACCCTGCATTATCCACTCGAACCCTTGTGTCGTCAGACAGCGAAAGGAAAAGAGAGAGGGGGGGGGGGCTAAGACTTTTCGGCGTGAGAGAGATAGAATTTGAATTTGTTGAGGTCCATAAAATGGGACGAAAAGTCCCGCTATAAACCATGAAAAGCAGACCAGCTCCACGGACTGCGGCTACGAACTACTTGATGACAACTTGCGGACATGTCGAACTGGTGTGTCCACGTTACGTTCCCATCGTACATTTGATTACAGCTAGGAAACGAAAACCTCCAATGAGACGGACGGACGGACGGACGGACGGACGGACGGACGGACGGACGGACGGACGGACAGACAGACAGACAGACAGACAGACAGACAGACAGACAGACAGACAGACAGACAGACAGACAGACAGACAGACAGACAGACAGACAGACAGACAGACGCCCGGCAGGTCGGGCAGGACATCGACTTGGCGGACGCGGACGCGGAGGGCGGAGGGGCCTTCGAGACCCGCGCGGGGGCCGCGGGGCCCTGCGTGCACTAACAGAAGCGTTGACCCCCGCCGCCAACGGCCATCGGCGGCGAGGGAAGGCGGCAGCAGTGCGACAGCCGGCCGATAAAAATGCGAAATCCACGGCACGGCGTGTCGCGTTGCGCCCGCGACGGCGGTCGGGCGCTACGGCGTACGGCGTAGGGCAGTCCGGCCCCGGCGGCGGCCCCGGCGGCCCTGCCCGGCTAGACCGCGGCCACGGCATGGATAATACCATATCACGGAATAGAACCTGTTCCAGACCGCGGGCGCTGCGTGCCGTTGGCCCCGCTCATGCACAGCCATTATATGACTCGACACATTTTGCCCACCGGGCGCGCCTGCCCCAAAATATCAGACCGAGATAGGCCTTCGGCAGGCCGGCAACTACCCAGACGTGGTAAAAGCCCCGCCCCCACCCCAAAACCGTCTCTACTGAGCCAACTGAAAGATAGACAATTTGTGCCACAAAACCCCTGGAAGTAGACCCCCCCCCCCACCCTGTCAGCTGAACCTTATAGGCTACCGCGCCTGCAACTGTCAGTTAGGCCGCAGCACCGACCGACGGTGCCGGCGGAACCGTGCTTATGCGTCCTTTGGGTTGGACGGGTTGGACTCGGGCCGACCGATTCCGTTTCGCAGCGCGTTTAGTCATGCCACCCCTCCCCCCTCTCTCTCTCCTAGAGTGGCCACGAGTGAGTGTGACAAGCTCGTGCAAGTTAAGTTCTGCTCATGGACTGCTCCCTCGGTGGTGGTTCCCCCGACTCCCCATTAGCTCCACCCCTCACTGGTCGCAGGTCTTCCCCCTGCTGCTGTGGTGCGTCGTCGTCGTCGTCGCCGTCGCCGCCCGCCGTCGTGCGAAACGAGCGTTGGTCACGTGACGCCACCGTGGCGGCGCTAGAGCCGGGCGGAGTAGCCGGGTCCGCACACGTGACCAGAGCCACTGGGCTCTAGCGCAAGGTCCAAACTCCACCTCGAACTCCACCGCGGCCCGCGCGGCTTGCCGTAGGACCGCCACAGGACCGCCGGCGGATGGGCGCGGGAGCACCCTTATCTAGGCCGAGCAGGGTGGCGGCAGGAAGTCATTTGGGATGCCGAGGCATGAGGAGAGGATGTCAAA